TTGGGAGAGGTCTCCGGCCCCAGCTGGTTGTGCTCCAGTCTGTAGCTGTGCAGCAGGCACAGAGGCAGGGTTTGCAATCTGAGTCACAAGGGAGACGCTCTCACTGCTCTCCGAGGGGCTCCCCTCTGCTGGGGCAGGCTCTGGAGGGAGGACGGCCCAGCTTTCATCTGAGGGTCCCTTGGGAGCAGTGGGGTGGTTTCCCTCCAGGGCTGCGGGGGCAGATTCTTTCTCTGCTGCTTCTGGAAATTTCACGTTTGCACAAGGCAGGGGTGACATCCCCAAGAACTCCTCTGTAGGAAGGCAGAAGAGAAGTGAGAGATGTTTCAGCGAGCACAGCAGCAGCTGACAGTGCAGCAGGGGTGGCTGCAGCTGGGCTGGGAGCTGAATTTGTGGGAGGGAGGAGCCACCACCCTCTCTAACCGAGACCTGCCAACGTCTGCACCAGCCCTCCCACAGATCCCCAACCACCGGACCCACCTTCATCCTCCTCCCAGCCTGGCTCCTCTTGGTGAATGCTCTGCTCTGCTCGCTGCTTCAGAGCCTCCCTCCGGGCCTCATCCTGCAGGAAATTCAGTATCAGCAGCTGCTCACTCCCCAGTGTCTTCTTCCCCCAGGCATTTCAGCATCAGTGACAAGAAGGACACGGACAAGGCAGCCCACATCCCTGCGTTTCCAGGATAAGTATCTCCTGCCTCTTTGGTTGGCATTAGAGAGCTCCTTGGCTGGAGCATTCACCCACTGAGGGAGATTTCCCCCCTCTTGACCTACCTGCTCCAGGCGATGCACTTTGTAGAAGTAGCGCTGCCAGAATTCAGCGTGGGAAACAGCCACTGGGACCTGGGAGTGACATGGGAAACACCACGAGTCACTTCAGAGGGAGCGCTGTGCTTGCTGCCTTGCTCCGCTCTCCTCCCAAGCCTTGCAGTTACCCTCACAACCTGCACAAGGCACCTGCTTTTTCTGGTGCACAGACCTGGGACCAAGCTCAGGCCTTCCCTGCACCACACCCCAAGTCAGAACTTGCCAGAAAAAGGAGCCAGGCAGGGCCGTACCATTTTAGTGTAGAGCGCCCGGATGGAAGGGCTGGTTGCCAGCAGCTCTGCTATCTCTCCTTTCTTCTCCTCCAGGTTAAACTGAGCCAGCCAGGCCTCAAGGAGCTCAGCAGGGCCTGAACAGGACAAGGACAAAGATAAGTCCTTGGCTCAAATAGGGCAGGAACACTTTGGGGAAGTTTCATTGGAAAAATACTATGGACCAGACCAGCTGGGGTGAGCAAGGGGCAAAGAAGCAGGGAGAGATGGGTCTCTGAGCCCACCCCACATCGTGGGGTTCTGTCAGCACAAGGCCACATGGCACCAGCTGTAGCAGCAGTTTAAACTGGCCCAGCAGTCTCTCAGTCTAAGCTAATCCCTAATGGAACAGAGAGATCTGCTCTCCATAAACAGTGACCCCATCTACAGCCAAGACAGCATGCACACTGGCCAAAGGCTCTGGGCAACACAGGACAACCCACAGACCCCCCGTGAGGGCCAGCCTGGCTCAGCAGCACCGCAGAGCCCTCCCGTACCATCAGGTTCGTTGCAGTAGGTGGCTGGGTCGGACTGGAGGCTGTAGAGACGAGCCTGGAGGGGAAGATGCACAGGGCAGAGCCGTCAGTGGAGGGGCAGCAGCAGAGCCCGAGAGGACAGGGCTCAGCACTCAGGACACTCACCTTGGCGCTGTCGTAGGGCTCCGTGGTACCTGTGGGCGTTGCCATCAGCGTTATAACATCGCAGTCAATGGTCTTATCCGGTGAAGGCGCAAACGTGTCCGAGATGACACCCAGGAAGTCAGAGAGGCCTTTCCTCACCTTTTCAGTCGCACCTGAAGAACCTTCTGTCCTCTTGAAGAGAAAAAGCAGGACAGCATAAGCATCAGTGCCTGCAGCAATGGGACAAGTCTCAGTCTTTTCTGGACATGCTCTTTAAAGAACCAGGATGTCTCTCTCTTCAAAAAAGTGCTAATGAGACAACTGTGTGGCCAGGGCTGGGCTAGAAGGGTGTGGTGGCAGGCACCGGCCTCAGGTGGCACTGAGGCAGCCAGGCCTTGTAATAGGTTTGTGGGGAACCGAGCCTAGACTTCGTGGGGGGAGAAAGGACACAGTTGGGTCTGGGAACTGTCTGGTTTGGGGTTGGACAGTTGCAGTAGCGGCTGCACAGGTCTAAGGCCGACAGCACGAGCAGAGATCTGATGTCACCCTGCAGTGACACTGCCAGCATCCCACCTACATGGCACACAGGGAGAGGGAAGGCACAGGAACTCATCCCCAGAAGTTCCTCCCCACTACAGAGAGGAAATCCCACACAGTGCTCAGCACCAAACCTGTACCATCTGAAACCTGAAGCTTGCAGTTACAGGTTGGGGTTTGTTCACAGGATCCTGTCCTCAGAGGCTATTTACTCCTCTCACCCCCCACTTTGCTTTCTACAAGAAGAACTGCAGCTCTCACTCCCATACTCACTGCCAGCTTGTCCTTGACCACGCTGGCCGTAGCAGCGATAGTGCAGGCTGTGTCATGCTGCACTACTTGAGTGAACTCTGCCAGGTCCCGTTTCATGAACTCCAAAGCCTCTGTGGACTGTGAGAAGATGACAGAGAGACTGTGTGATCTTTTTGCTCTCCAAAGCCATGGGCACACTGGAAACAAGTGTGAGAGCCTTTAACCCAGCTGAGCCCTTACCCCAACTCGTGCAACTGGTAAGACTGTAATAACCAGAAAAACAATGGGAAACAGCTAAGCCCAGAATATGTTACAGTGGGGTTTTTAAGGTAAGAATGAAAAAGACAGGTTAGGAAAAGCCTCATTTAGAGTTCTGTGTATAATTAATGTAAGCCATGCTGTGACAGGCAGGAAATTACACACCAGAGAGCAATGCTGCAAGCACATGCCATCCCTGCTCAGGTGGTGACTTTCACATCAACAGAGCCCAGCGCTGCTCCCCTGAGTCGTACGATCCCAGCGCAGCCATCAGGTCCCCAGCACCCAGAGTTTTAACAAATACACCCAAACTCCCTCTGCATGCACCAAGTGGTTCCCTCCCTGGGGTCACGGGTTGTGCCACAGCCACAGGCCCTCA